TGTACTCTTGCTGCTGCTACTACTGCTACTACCACTTCAGAACAATTCAGAAATATTCACAGGTTTGAGGTGGTGTAAACGTCTGGTACATTGCCAAGCCTTGAAACGTCTGCTGGACGTTACACCGAAAATGCTGGACTGTGGCGGCTTGATGCTGGACGTCTCGTCAGACATTCCAGAGTTCAACAGTTCGGATGGATCCACATACCGACAAAAGGAAGGTGCGCCTCAGGTACTGAACCATCATGGCCACATCAGACACGCTCCGAAGCGTCGGGGACCTGACATCGACATCCGTTGTATGCAAAACGTGCCATGGCACTGTTGATGCTGCACATGCAGAGCTCAAGTGCTCCCAATTGAGAGGCTTGCTTCGTAGCGATGAAGAAGGATGCGGCCTCTTCTCAAACACCAAGCTTACACGATATACGGATGTGGGTGCTTTTGGATCCATTCTCAGCAAATGCTGGGTTGTGGGCACGTTCAGCTGCCAGCATAAAGGGTGCACCAAGCCTTCAAAGGGCGGAAGCAATCAGGCCGAGATAACATACAACTTGAATGAATCTGTTTGCCTGTCGATGAACTCCTGGTCTATCTCTGCACTTGCCATGAAGGACTTCGACAGAATTGTAGGATCCTGTCTGCAGTCACGGAATTGTTATGGCAAAGAGCTGATCGTATTCAGTCCTTGCTGTTTGGTCTCCAGGAATACCAAGATGGCAAGAATGGTCCAAAGTCCACTATCAGCGCCCCCGGGCAAAGTAGGCCTTCACGGTTCGACTGTGCCAATGGGGGCAGCGGTTGATCTTTGTGGTCCGTGTTCTTGTTGTTTGGGCACAGACTGTCGGGGATAAGACTCACGTAAGATAGAAGCGCGATGAGGGCTCTTTGATTCGTTTGCCTTCTGCGGAAACGCAACTGTGAATCCCCTGAGCCTCTTCCTAAACGGGGATTGCAAAGAAGCTCACCAGCCGGGCTTGAGGACATGGAACGGGATGAGAACATGAAAGTCCTGCTGAGATCACCCACTTTCTGTAGCCTCACGGGCCACTCCAACCCCGCAGTGGCTATTCCAGAACACAGGTCTTGCTTGGGTTTGCGGGGTGCTCCTGCAAGTGCACAAGGCGGGAGAAGACGGCCGATCTAAGCTCGTGCAGTTGTTCGCAGCCGAAGCCTGTCCTGCATGTCTTCAAGAAAAGGGTGGTCTAGGTCTTTTGCTTGCTTACATATATTGGGTCGTCGTACAGGTTTAAGGCAATTGGAAGTAGCACATCGCCCAGGTACGTCTGAATATCACCCAACCGGCAGTGTTGGCAGACCATCATGCCGGTAGACATACTAGTATTACGGCTTCGACAGGCATAAAAGTCTGAAAGGCATCACGAGATTCTGCGGGCTTTAAGCGAATAAGTAGACATGAGCTGGGTTTTCGATGCGGGCTCATAGGCCATCCATGTGGAGGTGGTGATGGAGAGGACCAGCGGAACGGAGGATCGCCGGGCGAGCGGTAGCGAAGATAGACATTGTTTGGTCAAAACATACAGAGCAGCTAGCACTCCCGCTTCAATACCGCCACACCCACCGTCAAGAGTTCCACTGCTTTTTTCGCTGAGCCTGATGCGCGTTCGCGAGACAATCTGGTGGAATTGCTGCCACCACGGGTAAGTCTACGACCAAGGGTTCCGGATCACCTACCATTGATTGGTGCACTGTTGAATCCGAGACGAACATGCGCCGCCCAGCAAGAGACTGCCTCGCAGACAAAGTGAGAGAGCCTTGGAGAGAGCCTGAACTCTAACTTGCAGACTTGGGGAATCTCATCCTTACGCCGATTACGGTACCCATCCCTGTGGATCATTTGTCATGTTGTCACTGATGCAAGCTTGGATCGAAGCGCAGTGAACATGGAGGTGTTGTTTCTCAGCGGAACCTGACTTGAATCCGACGCTGTAGCTAAACCCGATTTTAAGCTTTAGCTAAACCCGAGTTTAAGGTTTGGTTACACCGGAGTTTAAGGCTTAGTGACACCCGAATTTGGGGTTTAGCCGAGCCTAAATGTAGGGTTTAGCACGATTTGTAAACCAGAAACTTGATCAGCACATTGGGTATTTCGGTCCATTGGCTTACACTTTCTCTCTTTGCAAGTAAAACAAACCTGCACGCATGCAAAATTTTGGAATATCCATCCAAACCCACCCCGGAGCCGACCCAGACCCATCCAAACCCAGGGTTTACCCTGTAAAGATTTATAGGGCTTATAATTTATAATAATTAAACGCGGTGAGCGGGCGCTAGTGATCCCACCACCCACGTACGAAGTGTAGAGTCGTCGAGATGGAGTACATGCATAATGAACCAGATTTTGGCCGCTGGCAGACCTATCAGCATGTAGTGCCAAGAGCAGCAGGAAACGAATCGTCAGGATCCCACTGCTCGGTGTCAGTGACAGTGCAAGGCGGCCTTCCGCTCCTGGCCAGCTGACGGCGCCATGCACCAGTACTCGCAGCATTGCCCGACACTGGAGCTTGGGAGACGATCCTGATCCTGTTGGCGAGTCACTCGTGGAGACTCCTGGCCCTACCCGCTGAGGAGAGCTCCGGACTTGCGACGGCCCCGAGTTCACGGGCTTGCTGCAGTAACCTCGCCAAGACTTCAAAGCAGTTCACAAGCTGTCAGCAGGCAACACCGGCCGGGAGGAGAAAGATCCAGCTGCCCCCGACCTGGTGAAATTCTGGCAGGCTTGCGCGATGCAAGGAAGGCTGGCCAAACCACGACAATCCAGTCTCAGAGGCAAACTGATCATTCCCAGCTGTACCTGAAAAAGCGAAGCCTGTGCCCCCCTTGACATTTCTCCCTGCTCAAGCTAGTCTATAACATGCAGGAGCATGGCAGCGAATCCCACATGCACTTGGGCCTGGATCAGGAACTTCCAACCGCCTTACCTAAGGCTGCTTGAAGTATCCGGACTCGAAGACACGCTTGATACGAACCAGAGAAACGACACTTCTAGCAAAATGTCAAAAACAGGCTTGAGATGGGGGGAGGAAAGAATCGACCAATGCTGGCAAGAAAATCGAGGGTGACATGGAATTGATGGCACGGCGACAAACGGACATGCAAGCTGCTAGCTCCTAGCACAAGGAGATGGAAAAGGGTGGCAAAACCAAAAGCTGCGAAAGCGGAGGGGCCACGTCTAATGGAAAGGTTCGACAGCGAAGTGCCTTGCTTCCAGGCAAAATCACCTTCGCAACATGCTGCCCATCACATCACCGACAACCAACACCACCATCACGGCAAACCAGAGACAACTGACACCAACGGGATGCAAAAATGGCATCAGCACAGCACAACGGAACCACTGACACGAAATGCCTGCACCGAAGGGGCAAACAAAACGCCAGCGGCAGCGGCAACTACTACTGCAGCACACCCAGCAGCAACACCAGAAGCAGAAAATACCTCTCCTCGTCTCACCTCGGTTCTACTCGTAGTAGAACTGCGGTTGCTCCAAGTCGTAGTCCTGCTCTTGCTACACCTCCTATTCTTCCTACTCCTCCCACTCTTATTCCTGCTCCTGCTCCTGCTCCTACTTCCACTCCCCCTCCTACTCATCCTTCCTACTCCTCCTGCTCCTGCTCCTGCTCCCGCTCCGGCTCCGACTCCTAGTCCCAGTCCTGCTCCTACCCCCCCTCCGCCTTCCTCCTCCTCCTCCGAAGCCTCCTCCTCGTCCTCCTCCTCCTGCTCAACTCCTGCTCCTGCTCTTTGTGAACCGGCACGAACGTGCAGAGTTGCGGCAAGCAATCGTGCAGCGCTCTGTTTATCGCGCGCCAACAGAAGTTAAACAAACCCAGGCGTTGCTGCGCACAACCTGTGCCACAGGCTACATAAAGCAACCTATAGCATTCAGCCGAGTTCATTTGAGCCAATATTGACAACGAATTCTACAAACCTCACACATGCATACAGAAGTACAACCCGGCGACAGCCTATGTTCAGCCATATTCGCCTCTCAACGAGCACGACCGTGTACTGGTTGCGGCGGGCCGGAGGCCATACGACGCTCTATCTTGCTACGTTAAAATAGGGGTTGGGCTTTTGCGGGGGGGTTATGCCCAGGAGTTTATTCCTGTAAATTCCTGGGGCCTAAGGTCAATTCCAGGATGTTGTTTTGGGGGGCTGAGCCCTGACAAGTTGTGGATGTTGGGACATGTTGGGGTTGTCATGTGCACCGAAGACCCGAAATAAAATCCCGCAGGGCCGACCCCGAAAGGTAGCAACCTAGGCATGCGGAACAAGCTCCCACTCGGGACTTGTTTTCGGCCGCCAACTCTCGGTCTCTGCCTGTCCCCCAGGCTTGACACTGGATTGCTGTACAAGGACTCTTCTACGAAGAAGTCTTTCCAGCGGCCGCCTCCGAAACTGTGCCGATGCTGCCGTCGCAGATGTCATTCAGGAGAGAGAAGAATTCCTCGGCCCAGGGCTTCCACCAGCAGGACTAGGAAACAGCAAAACCGACGTGGAATCCAAGGATCACTTCACAAATGCTGCTCACTATTGAGCTGCGCCGTGATCTTAACCATCAGCTTTCTGAGAGAACAGCCCATAGCCCTTGCCCCACGATCGCAATACCGTCACAGGCACACTGCCACTCGCAGAGCAGGCACGCTCGCACCAGTGTTCTTCTGCTTGCCCACGCCGGAGCTCTCCCAGAATCTTCGGGGGCACGATGCTCTGCGATAAGGAAAACTTCCAAGGGACAAGCGAATCGTGCACATCAGATTCAGACTCCGACATGGCAACCAAGAGTCTTGTGTAATGTACGAACTGCGATGCGGTGTATTCTAGCCGAGTGTGAAGATGCACCCTCAATCTAGCAAGCTGGTCTATGTCGTGTTTCCCACATGTCTCGAGACTGCGGTGTGAACATGAGTCATGCTGCAATGCGAACCCAAGAAACCCTGAAATAAAATCCTGTGGGCCCATGCAAGAACGCACGAACTTTGGCTTCAATCCGCCCGGAAGACACCAATAGCTACCGAAATAAAATCCTGCAGACAGACACACAACACCCGAAATAAAATCCTGAGGGACAAATCTGGCAAAACAAAATTTTGGGCTGCCCGATTTTATATTGGCGCATCCGTCCCCTGTCTTAAAGAACACAATTGTCGACATTCGGACCCCTTCCTGCACTTTTTGCACGGGAGTACTACTACTACTACTACTACTACTACTACTACTACTACTACTACTACATCTGCTTTTTCCACTACTTGTACTGGTACTCCTCTTGCTACTGCTATGACTTCTACTACTGACACCCCTACCACCACCTTCACTGCCGCCTCTCCAGCTCCTCTCACGATTATGGGCTCCTGGCATCTGTGGATGCCTGCTGCATGGGGTCCACCTCGGTAGGACTTGTATGCCAACTAACCTTCCGAGCTCTAGGCCTGCAGTGGCAATTCTGCAAACTGCTCGCAACAGGCGTCAGAAAGGCTCGGCCTCCTCGGGAAGCAGCCGATCAGCGAGCCTTGCAGTGACATCTTGGCTCACTTGCTGCGCTTTGTTCTTCAATCGAATGGGCTTCCCACCAGCGCAGCTGACTCGCTGGAGTTCTTCGGAATATACGGCTTGCCTTCAAAAACGCCACCAAGACCTGCAGCACCAGATATATGCACCCTTGATGCAGCAAATTCTGCCGCCCCTGCCGCTTCTGCTGCTAAGGATTCAGCATTCTCATTGTCAGAATGGACCCAAAACGCAACCCGAATAAATTTCATGAGTTGTAACCGGATTGGAGATACGATGCTGGTTGCGCTCTGCTGCTGCACCTGAGCACTGCGCGTTCGTTTCTCCACTTTCTTCGACATCTCTGTAAATATCCTTCTTGCAGGCGGCGGCAGGCGGTGAGAAGAGCAGTGCGAACTGGCCTCTTCCTCCTCTGTGGTCATCCAGGAGCCCAGCTCCTGCCGAGCCGCTACCACACAGCGACTCCATGTCGACATGTGATTTTGCCATGACCCTCCGGGACACTTAAAGCAGTGCATTCGTATGGTGCTGCCGACACCTCGACATCCGCTCCGGGCTTGGTGTCCCCTGGCGCTGATGGCACCACACCCAAACTCCATGCACCGACAGCTCTGTAGGCCGACCGTCCACAGGGCTGTCGTCGTCTCCGTCTCGGGAGCCCTTGACATTCGGGCGTGGCCGGACCGTCGTTGCTCGGAAAGGCTGCCTCGGCCATTTGGATCCTCCTCTCCTTCAAGACACACCACACCTGCAAACAGGCTTCGGCAGTCGGCAGGCTTCAGCATCTCTGCCCTTCCCAGTGCCTTGCGCAGCTCACGCTCCTCAACAGAGCGGCCCCTGCAGACCTCCAACTGTTTAGCTCGAATGCCCTGCTGCACACGCTGCCTGTGCACTGCGTGAAGCACAGCTGCGACCTGCAGGTCCTGCCGAGCGAGCATCGATGCCTCAGGAGTCAGGAACAGACCGTCGCCTCCACGAGTCTCGTGTCTTCCTGGCCTGCTCATGGACGGACAGAACCTGGCTGGCCTGATGACGCAGCCAATGAACACTTGAGGCGTTCAGGCCAGGTCCTGGCCGGTGCCTCGTTTTTTTCACCTCCATGCTGGGTACCACGACAACAGCTGCGAGCAGCACCCACCTTCTCTCATGATGTCACTGAGTCGAGGACAGCTCTCGGCATCGCTCATGCTGATACCATCTGACCGCCACTGTCGCCACGAACAAGAACCACCCAACTTTGGGAGATGCCACGCCTTCATCGTAGTCGTCGTCGAGCGAAACGAATCCCACCCCCTGGACAAAGTGGGAAATGTAGAGAACATCAACATTATACCAGCAATGAGCCATCGTGAGAGTTGGACCTGCTGCCTCTTCTTCGCCAAGACTCGTGTCCTGCAGGTCAAGGTACGTAAGCAAAGCTTGTAAATTCTGACGTGGTCTCAAACTCAAGGATCGCGTGTCAGCCCTGCCTGGCCCGCATCCAGGACACCGCCGCAGCGATGCCATATCTCTCCCTGCCCTGGCATGACTTCTCACAACCTTTTTGCTTCTTCTCTGCATGCATCAGCATTGCTGCCGCATTGTCATGAAGGAAAATGCCGCTGAAAGCGCCTCCTCGGGGACCTCCATCACTGTGTGCCAAGTGTCAGCAACCACCTTCGGTTTTATCCGTACAGAGCAAACCCTTCCCAATCAATCTCTTTACACATACACAGGTGCTGCCTCTTTGCTGAGTGACCAACATCTTTCGGATGCTGCTGGAAGCCGGGGCGACCGGCTCTCTATATACAACGGCAGCTTGCGACGCGATCTTCACGTCAGCATGACCTACCGCGCCCAACCCTCAACATCCTTGGTCAAGTCCGCGGTTTTCACAGAACCAGACCTTTGAGCCACAACAACCAAGGAAAATCTTCGCACAGGAACTCCACAGAGAAGCCAAGAAGGGGCGGCTGGGCGACCGGTGCTGTCAAGGTTGGCCCAGCATTGTGAGATTTCGGCACCTGCAATCTGAATTGCCGCTACCTCCACTGCGGCAGCTCGGCACAACTGCCTTGAAAAAGCCGTCGTCGTCAGGAGGCTTTGGCCTTTGGCGTTCCCGAACTTGTCCATTCAGACTCTAAAGCCGATGCCCACATCTCCAGTTCCGAGCTGACCCTTTGACGCATCACAGATTGCACAAAACCTCGACAGCGACGGACGGGGTGCACGGACATCCGTGAGCTCCGACTCCTCGACGAGGCCGTCAAAGCCATGGGGGAGCGAGGGCAGAAAGCACAAGGGGTGAAAGAAAGCGAGCGAAAGAGCGAGCAACACACTTAACAAAACCACCGAAAGGGAATTGGCCCCTGCTTTTTCTGTTCGAGGTGGCGCAAGCCGATTGAAAATCTGCTCACAGCCAGCCACATTGCTCGATGTGCTTGGAGATCTAGGACCCAGGGGAAACGCAAAGAAGCGATGCTTGGTCACCGGAGACACCCGAAATTGAAGACCAGGGCTTGCAGGGCTTTAGGGCCTAGTGCTGAGAGCTTCAGAACCTGCTGATTTTGAACCCTTCGGGCTGCTTGTTGGCCTGAGACATGGACTTCTACGTTCCTTCAAACGTCACAAGTGTTCATGGCTGGCGATGGGTCTGAGGAGTCTTAGTGTGACGTTTCTATGCATGGGCAACGTTCCGTTTGATGCGGCTTTCTTGCGGTCGCTGACATGAAACTGGTGGAAGTCTTACACAAAACTTCCAAGGTGCCGCCTGTTTCGATCCTGTTTGCGTTGTTTTGCTTGTACTATCTTCGAACCTTCGACCTAATGCTGCATCGTGACCTGTCGAAACTCAACCTGATAGCCAAATGATGCCAAATGTGCAGACCTTTTGGGGGGGGAATGCCGCGACGACAATGATCGTAGTCAGTTTTGATGGTGGTGGTGTCTTGGCGATCAGCTTTGCAGCGGTGGTCTTGGGATCTCGGGAAACATACCTCGCACTTAGGGCTGATGACTTCAGCCTATTGTGTCAGAATGCCGCGTCCGAACAATCAATCATACACAAGACATCAGGACCCGCTGCGCTGAGCGTGCTCGGAGCGCTGCAAATCATCTGCCACCTGCAAATCGAATGGCGAAGTCTTGGACTGCATCATCGCATGATTGTGCCCTTGCTGCTTGAGTCCACAGAAGAGCTGGCGCCTTGCTGTAGGTGCCTCCGGACTGCAATGGCCGGGAGCGTGAGTCTTGCCAATCCAGGAACCTGCAATCACAAGTTACTGCGGCAAGGCTGGAAGCTGATTTGTTGCTGCGCTCCTGCTGCCTGCCTGCCTCACATCGGGCTCACGACTCCAAGCCCGATTCACAAAAAGGGCCCCCACAGTTGGACAGAATTGTCACTGCGGACATGCACGAAGAATGAATGGACGTCATGCTGCAATCTACTGTCGGCTTGTTCTGCATGAAACCGAGCACTGCTCTCACAACGATCAGGCTGTTCCACGTTGTTCAACATTTGCGAAGGTATGTCATGTGTTGCTCTCTTGGGCAGTGACATCTGGACCGCAGCATCAGCGGTGGTGTTCGCGCTGTCAGATTCCACGGAACTGCCACGGGCGTGACACGGCATGGCAGACTTGAGGGAGACCAGTCCAATCCAGCCAACATGCTTGCGTTCCCCCGAGGGCGGCACTTGCCCAAAAGCTGCTTTAGCGGCGAACCTCCCGAAATCCCGAAATTGCCATCCAAAGAGAGGCTTCTGAGCTTCGGGCCTGCAATGAGGCGAGAATGCGTCTTTGGAGCAGGGCCTTGGCCATGGAGTCACGAGGTGAAAAAGTGCATCATAACTTTAAGCTTTTAGGCAAGCACGGTGTCCGTTGCAAGCCGCCCCCTGTCTCTTCGGCGCCACCGCCTTCCGAAAGCCACAAGCTGCATTGTGCCGCTTCCGCTCTGCCCCCAACCTTGCGGTCGGTTCTCAAGGCCGTCGGAGTGAGAGTCGCATCAAACACCCAACTTGGAATCCTGCACACGCAGGAACCAAATCGTGCAAGTATCTTTCCAGGAGTTTTTGCTTCAATGCGCAGGTAGGAATCAGGCAAAAGAGTAGGCTATGCAAAAGACTACTGCATTAGACAAGTACGTGGCACGTATCATCTTGCAGCAACTTCGCCACTGCTGTACGAATTGGTCGATAGTTCACGTTCACGGTGGACATCACGCCGCAGGGGCTGAAGCCCAGCCTGAGGGGCTCGAAGCTGTAATCAGGCAGCCCGAAGAACTGGAGGACCGGCATAATGAACACGCCAGGATCCTCTCATTTCAACTCGATTTGTCTGAACACTCTTTCTGTCACAGGTCCGTCAGCAGACTTGCATTGTGCGTCATGTCTTCTGGCGTGACCTGCAGCAATTGAGCAATGGTACAGAAACAACCTGCTAGTGAAGCAGGAATTGGATGACGGGCCGGTCACGAGATCGGATTAATTTCCCCCCTTGCTTTTGATCTCAGTGCACGGCCAGACGCTTTCTTCGGGTACAGGTCTCAAAGAGCTCTTGTCCGTGGGTCCAAGGAACAACTGTATCCTGACCGAGAATTCTGGCAACCATGTGGCGATAGTGGTGCACAGCTGCGCCTTCTTCCCGTGCACGATCAGCAGAAATCCAGAAATGTCCTTGATTTTCTCCTCCACATTTTGTGCACTTGAGAATCAAGGAATCCTTGAAAAGCTTACATTCTGGTTGAAGAGAGAATCAAAAGGGTGATGCAGTGACTCGAAATACCTGTGTGCGAGAATGGAAAAGCGCACGTAGGAGGGATTCCGGGATGGATAGCATGCGGTCGTGCTGACGTTGGTAGAGAAAGAGAGAAAAATACAAGATAGAAGCCACGACAGCAGAGTCCTTGTTTGGAAATCGCTCTTCGATCAAGTCCCTGCCAAGTGTTGCAAGATTCGTGTTCAAAAATGTTGGAAGTCATAATGAAGCCAGCAGGGCGCCACACGCCCTAAGTGACAGCGGACCACTTCTTTCACTGAGAGGAATGGACAAATCAGAATCACCTTGGGCAATGTTGCTCATGCAACATCCGGGCTGAACCAGCACACACTTTACACCTATGTGCATAACTGCACACTTTCAAGCAGAAGGGTCCGTGCCCCATATGTCTTGGCCATCGCTGCTACGTGAAGGGCTGGCCTGGACAGCGTGCACTAGATGGTGCCAGTATCGCTTCACGACGTGACTCAAGGAGAGAATAGGCCCGGGCCCACTGCCCACAGATCGACCCAGTACGATTATGTCCTCCAGTTTGGCCACAGCATACCACGGCCACCAAATCTGAAAGACAGAGCTTGCCGGCATGGTGCAGTCTCCTCGGACGGATAACGAAGAACCTCCACGTGGGCGACAGGCCCACATTCCGTGACAACACAGCTTTGAACTTTGGTACTCCGGGCTACGGCTAAGCAAAACAGATCCCAAGCAAACCTTCACTGTGAAACAACTGCTGAAACTTTATTTACATATCCCTCCCTGCAACCAACCCCCAGTTGACGATCCGAAATCCATTGAAATCATGCATCTGTGCGAGATTTCAAGCAGCAGAAGAACCCACGCAAACTGATCGCACCTAACCCCGAACACTCAAGAGCCGCGTTCACCGACTTTAAACTCACATGAGGATTTTGTGGCTGCGCTTGTAGACATCAGAATTCCACTGCGCTGGTTGTTTGGCATTTGTGCTGAGGCAGTAGAGGTGGGCGTTGCCCGTCCATGATGGGTGGCCGTGGCTGTGGCATGATGGGGGAGAGTACAATTAGATGGGAATTTTTTGTTGAAGAGTGCAGGAAGCTGGCCTGACTTCAAAGATGAGACTCTGTGAGAGGCTTCCACCAAAACCGGCCAACTAAGTGCTGCCATAGTGGAGAGGGCTCTATGTAGTCTATGAAAGTATAGGCTCATACCAACACCGAGTTGACATGAGAGACCGATCTGCTGCCTCCGTGACGAAACGAAATGCCAACTTGGCGTTCTCAATCACTGACACCTCGTCTGCCTGCCAACGCTCGCCACAGCACCAGCAACAACTCTTCAAGTCTGACATTATCCTGCAGCCGCTGCTGGCACCGAACCTGTCCACCAGGACAAATTCCATAGCCCGGGTACTCGACAGCAAGCACATTCACCTCTCCATGTCATCAGCCGCTTTGCCGCATGCGCAGCATGAATGCATGTGACCCAAAGCACAAACTCGCAAACGAAATGTTTTCGTGCTAATAGCAACTCCACCTTAGGCACACCTCCCACATCAGGCACGGCCAGCCCGAAGCTTCTTGCCTGGAACTGCATGCGCAGCATATTGCAAAAGTTGTAGCAGCGCCCGAGGTCCTCGAAAGAACATACGCAACCCACCCAAATCATCTGCGATATGCTTGCTGCCCATTCTCTGCTTCCTCCGCATTGCTGTGCATGTACAGCATGACGAATCTCGCAGAGTTGGATGTCAAGAACAGGCACGGAACATTGGCCTCGCAGATTCTAACGGACTGCAACGCACAGAACTGCTTTGATTTCGGCGGGGCACCTCGACGTTTGGATCTTCTGGGTCCAGACTGCGTGGCAACCATATGAGTTCCTCTCACGACAGGCAAGTCAACTTAGACAAAGTTTGTGTGTTCTGCCCGAGGTATTAAGAGGCAGAACAGCAAGGTCTAGCACAAAAGAAGTTGCCGTGCGTGAACAACATGATCCCGCACACTTCCCAACCTCCTCCGGAAATGTGTGGAGATCATAACTTGCTTCTGGTGCCGGGAAAAGAAGTGTGTTGACCTGAGCACTGTTACATGCAAAGGCATTATACTTGTCTGACTGCGACGATCACTCAAAATCTTCACGACGACGACAACAGCACCTCCTCTTCTTCGACCTGCTCCCCCCAGTATCCCCTACACCAACCCGTGCACCCTAGCACAACAATAATCACAACAACCAACAGCCAACAACCAACAACCCACAACCCACAACCGACAACCGACAACAGACAACCGACAACCGACAACCACATTGAACACTGCGCGAGCGGGCTCCACGCACGGCGGGTATATTACCTCACCAAACACTCAATGGACGTGAGACTGAATTTGTGACCGAAACATGTCTGCATTAGTAAGCTTCCTCAACTACTTCCGCTGATGACCGATCCACACTGTGCTGCCTCGTACCATTTTGAGCCGACAAGCACATGAGACTCCATCCCCATCTCCACCTAACGGGATTGCCCACTGTTGCTGCCCTGTATCCATAAGGACGTCGGGCACATGAGATGTTCAAAGGACCTCCACGCAGCAGGACCACGGTCTGGCCGTGTTTGTGGATGGAAACCGTACCTGTAACGTAATGGATTTAGGCGGTGAGTGACACAGCCGCACCTCGATGGGAATTGCATCTAGCGAACTGCGATGCTCAAGGCAGGCCCTTTTCAATGTTGACGGCCGTCAGCTTGGGGCACGGTTGTGCAAAACGGTCGACAAGTGGTCAACTTGACCGACAGGCAGACGCCAGAAGAGGCAGAGCCACCAGTCCGCGGAAGTGTCAGGAACGGAATTAGTTGGAGAAGTGGTCCGCCTTCGCGTCCGGACTCGTAGCTTTGTCAGACAAGATTAGTCGCCAGCCAAAAATCGCTGTGGGCAGCCTGCACATGCCTAAAGCATGTTTGGCCTCGACTTGGGGCGGGCCATGCCCACCTATTGGCAAGATTCGGGCCAGCACCTACCCTTCGGATAGGTCAGAATCACTGCTTGACTAGGAAAAGAACCATGCCTCGAGCACTTGCTTGCGGTCGGAGGCTGCTGCGGGCGTTGGGCGTGCCGAATCGTCTACAACATGGAGGTTTGCTCGACTGGGATGGAACCAGAAAGATCGATAGTGGCCTTCGTCCCAGGTAGTATAGCCCTGACGAAACTGTGTATGTATGCCACTCCCGGTTCTGACCCTCCTGCCAGGCCGGTAGACTGGTAGACTAACAGTCTGACGAGGATCCAAGGCTGTCCTAAACTTTTGGCATTGACTCCATGACTCGAAGCAGAGGGAGGGGCCCACAGCACGGCTCACTGAAAAATGTTTTGCTTCAGCCCGAACACAACTGTTGCAAGGTTCTGCTATCCGACGTCATCGGCAGATACAGAGGAGATTCCCCAGTGTCCGAGTCCTCTCCTGCCAGCCAGCAGGTGTCTCCGCTGTTGTCAGCTATCAGCAATGCTAGAAACTCCGCAGCATCCTGTTGCCTGCTATCAAACTTTCATCTCGGAACCAGCGAGCGAAGCGCAAACAGACTTATGCGGTTCACAGGCCGGTTCCTGCGTGTGATTGTTACACTTCTGCAGTAGCTGTCCGAGCTCCGCGAAGTTGCGACCAGCTTGCTGCAGGGCAGTAAGAGCTTACAGGACAGACTTGATGTGACAGGTCTTACTCTGTTCATCAGAGTGCACAGGTTCGCCGACGGTCCCTGCGAGAGGCATCATCAGCCTGCCTGTCCGATTATCTTCAGAAAAGGCAGATGCAGGGTCTGGGCCCTGTGCGCGTAAAGACGGTATGCAGAGTCAGAGGCTCCGCCTCTTCGGGCGGACTGCGTCCCCTTCGGCTTGGAGGACCATGCACTCTACTCCAACAGAGGCACACCTGAAAAAAGTATGCAGTATGACACACTGTGCCGGGTGCTTCTTCTTGTCGTACACTTCTTTAGCGCAAAATGGACACGAGTAACCCTTGATCATCCGTGCCGAGTAGCCCTTACACAGGCTCATATCCATCGGTCTGCCAATCTTGAGGATGTGCTTGTCGGAAGCGCGACTTGACCTTGGAGTAATCTGGGGCCCAAAAGCCATATATGCATCTGTGTTCCAGGATTCGTGCTTCGGGCAGGCCGGCGGTTTCCGAGGACCGGGCGAGAAGAACCTTGGATTCGTTTTTGTCAACTGATTAAGTTGCTGAATCGCTTGGCGGTGCGTCTGCTGAAAAGTCGTTTGAGCCAGGTTATGCAGCACCTCCGGACAGGCTCCTGAAGAAGATGACCCCGCAAGCCTTTCCACGCTTAAATTCCCTGCGGAGGCAGGCATACTATCTGATCCTTTGGCGTGTACCTCTCAACGGAATTCAGCAGCGCGGATGTTACGCGCCCAAGTTGCGCTCAGTGCTGAACAAACCTGCGCATGTGTCATCATCATGTGTCACATGTCCCCACGGTTGAACTTTTCGCGTTGTACTCCATCCAGGACCCTGTTCAGAAGCTCAGGGAACACACGCAAGGTCGGCTTGAGAAGCTGACGGCCAAGGACTCCAGCACCCTGCGGAAATCTCAGAGTCTCCGCCGCATCAGACGCGCAGGGGCGTCTGGCGACCAGGACACTGGCAGCCTCTTCGGACGTCACTCTCATGCCCCATGTCCTAAAAGACCCTAGAAAGATCTTTTCTGAAGCTCAGAGCATTCCGAAGGCTTCGGCAAACTTTCTCCAGGCTACACACGCGTGTAGTTACTGTTCAGCTGCCTTTGCTTCGTCTCACGGTTTGCGCATGCATGTTACTAAGAGGTACAGAGACCAACTCCTCGGTTATTCCCCCTGGCCCAGACCATCGGTAAACCAGACTTGCAAGCGGGCCTTTGGGCTGGCGATGCGCCTGTTATAGACAAATCGCCGGACCTGCTGCAGCTTCTTTGTTGCTTCGGCTACACGATGCCGCAACGTCTGGATTTTGCTTCGAATCCCATGCTTCCGCAAGACATCCAGGTATGTTTGTTGAGTACTGAAGCAGACTCTGCGCATGCTACTTTAGCCAGCATGGAGCATTTGGCCTGGTTGACTCTTAGCTGTAGCACTGACAATGCCTCCAACAACTCGTCAATAATTGGCTGACGCTCGGCCCGGAGGTTGGCTTTAGACCAGACGGTGCGATGAACGGTAAAGTGTCCGCATAGCCAGTCAGAAACCGATGGGCTGCCGCCAACCCAAAAGCATTGATTTGGCGGTGTCCTCTGCTGAGAAAAGCGTCGGCACTAATTTGCAACCCTGCTTAATTTCCGTTGTGGTCTTGACATCTGCAAAGCTTCCTTGAGAGTGCTGCCGGTATTTCGAAGCTTGATACAACCCATGCACGAATCTGGATAAAGAGGCAGCAGATCAAGGATCTCCTGTCGCGAGACAGTGTCACAAGCCTTAGAGAGATCCAGGGCAAACGTTATTCCACCCACCAGCGCTGGTGGACCGAGCCCTGTTTGCAGATCTGCCCTACCGAATTTCGCAGAGCGACAGATAGCCCGTACTTCTCCGAGGTGCTGAACGACTCGGCTTTGAGAATTTGAGAGACCACGAGGCAGGGGCTGCATGTAGGAAAGCGTGAGCGGCTCTAGCAATTCCCTGGCTGTTCCTGCAAGCCCTTAGTACGCCAAGAGGGTCTCAGCCGGTTTGCCGGACTGGTTAATCCTTCGCCAAGCAGGTAACCATCATTGTCCTTCAGCTGTGCCTTGAGGGCTGGTTGCCACGGTCGGAGCTGCTTAGGGTCTAACAGGCGATACGCTGGTCTACCTGCTCCAAAACTTGGTCCACCGCGAAAAGGAACTGGGCCGCCGGTCTTTCCTGGCCTTATTAACTGCCTGTTTGTGCTGATTTTTGAGAGCTTCCCGAACCTCCAAAGCAGCGGAGTCAGCTGCAGGCACCAAACGTCGAGTTCGCCAGAGGCGCCGGGCAGTAGTTGTCTCCTCACCCTCAAACAAAGTTGCGGGGAGTTTCGGGAAAAACCGCTGAGTTGCCTGAGAGAGGAGGGCATCCGGCTGTGTGTCCACCGTCAGGCGTTCCGGGATCCAAGACAAATGTTCTGGGCCTGCTGGTTATGAGATCTTCCCGCGCCTGCACGGACTTGGCACGACGCGCCACAGGTTTAACCCTGGGGCCAGAGAGATGCCAGTGCCCCTCTGGCTGCACACGTGCCAGAACTGGCAAGTGGCCTCCTTTCTTCCAAGTTGGGAAGGAGCGGCGACCTGCCACTTGTTCCACTGTTACGACACAATCGATTTGAGCGCGGGACTCGCCTTGCTCAAAGATGTGGGCCGGGGAGGCTTGCCATGTGTTGAGAGCTACAGGTTTCGGAAAAAATTGGTGAGCTCCGATTGATCCGGCCGAGCCTCCAGCGGCGATACCAGCGCGAGCCTGGGCAGACGGGAAGCGGAGCTGGGCTGTTGAAGTCTCCTGCAATCAGCAAAATATCACGGCGGGGACTTGCTTGATTTCCATCTGATGCCCTGGGGCTGGAAGGGGAGAGCAGGACCCTGACTCCATCACTCGAGTAGTGGACGGCCCAGCGTTCCTCAGCCCAAGGCAGAGCCCCTTTGGAGCTTGGCCGGCAGAGCCCCTTCTCAGTTTTAGCACTTTTGTTGACTTGCGCCGGAAGAGCCAGCGAAGCAGACACACAGTTTGCCGCGGTGAACTCGGCTGTGGCCTGCCAGGGAGTTTCCTGCAAGACAAGAACGCTGCAAGTCGGCAATGCCTTCGTGGCCATTTGATCTCATTGCTGCTGACCTAAGTGTCCAGCATTCCAGGACAGAATCCGGATTTCCTTGTTTTCTCGCCCCGCTCTTGGTCAGGTAGGAGCGGCTGCTTCAAAGACTTTTTCCTAATCTGAGAATATAATTTTGCGAGTGCCATCCGCTGATTTCGCCGCGAGGCAAGAGGTGGAAACCCTACCGCCTGCACAGTAATCAATGCCTTGGACAGCGACTGGGTCCAGGAATTGGGACCTGGCGGAACAGACCGATTCAAGATGCAGAAGGGCACATGGCT